CACACATTGTATGACTCCATTTATATGAAATGTCTTGAATAGACAAATACATAGAGGCAAAAAGTAGATTAGTAAATGCCAGGAGGTGGGGGTAGTGGGAAATGGGATTACAAGGTTTCTTTTTGGGGTGATGAAAATGTTATGGAATTAAACAGTGGTGATGTTTGCACAATTCTGTAAATATACTTTAAAAACCTACCTTTTGCACTTAAAATGGTAGATGGATTTTGTGGTATATGCATTATATCTCAAAAAAGATACAATACTTGACATGAAATCAATCTCTATATTATAAAAAATTAATTCATTCATTAGCTCTAATGATGCCTTTTATTTCTTTTTCTTGCCAAATTTCTCTGGCTAGGACTTCCAACACTGTGTGAGAGTGGGTATTCTTGTCTCACTCCTGATCTTAGAGGAAAAGCTTCCAACTTTTCATCACTGACTAAGATGTTAGCCGTGGGTGTGACATAGCTGGTCTTTATTGTGCTCAGTTACATTCCTTCTATACTTCATTTTTTTCAGGGTGCATGTGATAATTTGATACATTCATATTATTTGTAAAGATTAAATCAGTGTACTTTATATGTTCATTACCTTAAATATTTGTCTTTTCTTTATGCTAGAACCTATATTTTAATTCTTCTCTTCTAGCTATTTTGGAATATACAGTAGATTATTGTAAACTATAGTCTCTTTACTAATCTAACACTAAGTCTTCTTTCTTCTAACAAACTGCATATTCGTACCCATAAATCAACTTCTCTTCATCCTCCCCTCCCCACTACCATTCCCAGCCTGTGGTAACCACCAATCTACTCTATCTACATGAGATCCACTTTTTTAGTTCCCACATGTGAGTGAGAACATGTAATATTTGTCTTTCTGTGCCTGGCTTATTTCACTCAACATAATGGTCTCCAGCTCCATCCATGTCGCTGCAAATGACAGGACTTCAATTTTTTTATGGCTAAATAACATTTCATCAAATATATATATAAAATTTTCTTTCTCCATTTATACATCGATGGACACTTAGGTTGATTGCATATTTTGGCTATTATGAATGAATAATGCTGCAATAAAAATGGGTATGCAGATGTATTTTTGATATATTGATTTCTTTTCTTTTGGATATATACCCAGTAGTGGAATTGCTGGATGATATGGTAGTTCTATTTTTAGTTTTTTGAGGATCCTCCATAGTGGCTGTACTAATTTACATTCCCATGAACAGTGTAGGAGTGGTCCC